TATAGCAAAAATTTAAGTCATGGATTTAAAAAATAAAATAAAATTTACACAATCAGAAGAAGTTGCTTAATCGTTTTCAAGTATTTGAGTAAACAAAAAACAGCCCTTGTAGAAACAGCCACTCGGAGAAACTCCATATGAACAAGTCATGTTTGATGCAAAATTCAAACACGAAAGAGGAATACACCAGAGTATAAGACGTTGGGAATCTGCTTTTCTTTTAGCTAGTAATTGATTAATGTTAATTACTTAATCAAGTTGAACCATGTTTCTTTGGTGCGGAAATAGAGTGCCTACCTAACTATTTTCGAGTTAATCTCTAAAACCTTCTAATCCTTCTCCTTAAGCACAAATAATCTGCAAACTGAAAGCAAAGTGAACCAAACGAAAGAGGAAAATACAATAATTTTGTTGACTTAGCAGAAATTAGTAATTTTATAATAATAAACTTCGACATCATGTAGAAAAGCATATAATATATATGAAGCTAGCTGAGCTGTGAGATGATTTGATATCTATGGTCATGGTTATCAAAGTGGAATTCGATAATATATAAAAGGAACAACCAAAGTGGGAAATATATTTTAATTATCATGTTGGAAATATTTTGTAAGATCCCACATCGTTCAGGGGAGTAGATCATGTAAGTCTTATATGTATATTTTCATCTCTACCTAGTACGAGACCTTTTGGGAGCTCACTGGCTTCAGGTTCCATAGGAACTCCGAAGTTAAGCGAGTTCGCTCAAGAGTATTCCTATGATGGATGGCCCACTAGGAAGTTCTCGTGTGAGTCCCCAAAAACAAAACTGTGAGGGTGTGGTCGGGGCCCACATCGGACAATATTGTGCTACGGCGGTGTCAAACCCAGGATGTGATGGGGGCTCAGGCCAAGATGTGACAATTTGGTATCAGAGCCAATTCCTGGCCGTAAGTGTGCCAACGAGGACCTCGGGCCCCTAAGGGGGATGGATTGTAAGATCCCACATTGTCCAGAGAAGTGGATCATGTAAGCTTTATATGTATATTACCATCTCTATCTAGCACGAGGCATTTTGGTAGCTCACTGGCTTCGAGTTTCATCGGAATTCCGAAGTTAAGTGAGTTCGCTTGAGAGCATTTCCATGATGGGTAACCCACTGGGAAGTTCTTGTGTCCCATAAACAAAACTGTGAGGGTGTGATCGGGGCCCAAAGCGGACAATATCTTGCCACGACGGAGTCGAACCCGGAATGTGACATATTTTATTATTAATTAGTACAATATATTTTTTTTTGGAAGTAATATTAGGAAGACCAATTTTTTTAATCAAATTTGCAAACTAAATGATGTGGTTGTAGATGATTAGATTATTAATTAAGTATCGATTAACGTGCTTATTTATTATTGATAACATATCATTTGATTTGCAATTTGGTTTAAAGAATTTAGTGTCTCTATCATTATTATTATTATTATTATTTGGTTGATGGGCGTGACTAAACAGAAGCAGTTGGGCAGATCCCAGCGTACGTAATCTGTTTTATTTAAATTAAAAAAGGGATGCAAAGGCTTAACGTACATCAATAATGAAACTAGATAGTTAAGGTTGGTCATTTAAAAGAATATAATTTTTTGAGTCCTCATCAAATCATATTTCTTGCATTATATTTTTGTCTCTGCAACAGCAATGGTTTTGTCTCCTGATGTTAAGCAAGATGGTTTATTCCCTCCGATGCTTATAAGTTCATGAATCAAAGGTTTGACTCGTAGAGCTTGGTGGTTAACAAGAAGCACGCATGGCGGCTAATCATCAGTCTAATTCATGGAGCATTTGAAGCTAATGAAATATATAGTGCAAAATCGAGCGTCCTGATGTTTTAGAATTTATACAATTGACGCCATTTAATGAGATAATGTTTAGTTGTTGTTATGGATTAAGAGCTTCAATTTCTATATGGCGTAGTGTCTTAAATCGGACTAAGAACTCTCCCACGAAGAATGGGCATATCAACAACAATAAAATACGAACAATATATATACGTGTATATGAATACATACAAATACGGATGGTATATATTCTATAATACCTTGTATAATACCAAGCCGTGCTTCTTCTTTTTTTTTCCACGACCCGACCAATTTGAGATGATAATGTTAACACTGGCCAGCTCGATTTCCAATTATTAATTGTAAGAATAAGTAAGATCATAAATACGGTTATAAATTAAGTAAGATCATAAATACGGTTATAAATTTACTGGAAGAATGTATGTGTCTGACCAACCGTATCAAAGTGATTTTATTTGACTTTTGCTCCTTTTTAAAAAAATTTGAGTTAATATATTTGACCTAAAATCTGGTAACCATATCCTCTATTTGAATCGAATTTGTGGTCATTTGTTTCATCTTGGATTAATAGTGAGGGTCAGAAAACTACCTGTTACATATAGGACTTGCCTTTTGATTTATAACTTTAGGCTTGTGTCATCATTTATTTGTCAAATTTATAATATAATCGCAGATAACACCAGTAATGGAAAACAATAATGCATATATATGCACTCTGGTGTGGGTATGATCACATGCCAACTGATTCTCTCTCTCCTAACATTTAACAATTTAATCTACTAGCGTTGTCATTTGTTAAAAAAAAAAAAAAAAAACATACATATCCAATTGTAAACTAAAGTAGTATAACCTAAAGAAAGTTACAAAACCAACAAACACAAGGATGATTATGATGTCTTAAATCAGCAAATCCACATGCCGTATATGTTTTCTTTTCTTCTATAAATATGTTTGAAAACGTGAATGAAAAGTTGTTGGAAAAGATGTTGAATAGTGTAATAGAATAATATTATCTTATGAAACTTTAAAAAAGTGTTTATAGCAAGAATAATCAAAAAGAAGAAAAATATGGTCGGTTTCGTGTTATAGTTTTCTTTAATGATATAGTTTTTTCTTTTTTTTTTGTTGAAACGATATATTTTCTGAAGTTCCATAAATTCAATGCATGCGATTGATCAAGTCAATTAATCTATAGCTTTTAATCTTGATTTATTGTTATAAAACACAAATTACAGCTGCAGAACTTTAAAATAAAATAAAATTAGAGTACGGGACATAGGGGTCGTCGGACTTGGCTTTAAGGAACTAGCTGATGCCGGCCCCAAGCTATACAAAAAGACATCCATCGGCACTGGCGGCGGCAACTATATTGACCGATCAATATGTTAGTAGGACAACAAGTACATATAATCAGCGTATCAATTAGACAAACACAAACAACAGAAAAGAAGAACAAACAAGTAAAAGTAAATCCAAGAGAGCCGACAAATCAAGGAGTTCATTTCTAAACTGACAATAACAAAACCCTAAAGTCATCAATTAAAAAATCTGAGGTCAAATACCGGCCAACGTCTAAATTAGAGACCCCCCTGCCATTAAAACACAATATTAATGACATTATCTGTTTAAAAAACAATACATTCCATATAGTATCATTGGTTACAAGAGAGTTAATCCCCGGCTAAATAGTAGAAGAATAGAGGACAGATAGGAAATGCTCGGAAAAAAGTGCTTCAAAGACAATATATTTGAGTATGGCTTCTTTCTTTACACGTGTATGTATTCAAGCTTCTGGATGTTTCAGGTCTTTGCCTGGAGGTTTGAAATCCCAGAAAATTAAGAGAAATGCAATGAATATATCTACCAAATGGAATTTAAATAGATTTTTTTCTATTAAATATTTTATTTAGTTAGAACCATGCATGATTCAGTGGGCGCACCCAAACCATGGTCAAATTTCATGATAAGAAATTAATATTATTGTTCAGGTATTGATTTAATTGGGAAGAACAACCTAACAAAAGCAACAATCATTTAACTCTCACCCTGCACTGCACGTATTCTGCAGTAGAAATTGATATTGCTTGGTGATTGCGTATTTATTTTTTTGATTTGAAAAGAAACGAGACTTGGCGTAAAATTGAGCACAGTAATGTTCTAAAATTTATACAGCCAACTTCACTTAGTAAGATAATTGCTCAAAGGAAACGTTGGACTTATAAGAGGGAGTACAGACTAAATCTTGGAGGTGAACATCCTGCATGATATTATCAGATTTAATCTCGCTTGAAACTGCATAATTATCTACAGATATTGCAAATTAGCTAAACAAGGAGATAGCTCATGCAACAATGTGAAATTAATATGAATGAATTTCACCTCCTGCAAGCAAAAACTTAAATTTTCAATCAGACAGAAGATTCTTGCTCTTTTTCATTAAATAATTGCAGCTGCCAAATATACGATCCATCACCCTAAAAGGCGACCCCAAACTAACAAAATTTCCCACTTTGCGAGAATCAAAAGGAGGGAGAAACGTCTATGGTACACAGCTTTATCCTTGCATTTGTAAAGATGCTATTTTCACAATCCGAACCAGTGACCTTTGGGTCACAAAATAACAATATTTTCGTTGCGCCAAAGTTTACCCTGTACGATCCATCACTCTCCAACACAAAAATTTCTCATGCAAACCAAAATGACATCATCGAGCTGAAAAGTTCAAAATTAAAAAGGTTGAAATTAGAGTTGAAAAAATAGTGTTCACTCTTCATTAGTAAATTAAGTTTTAGATTTTTGTCCCAAAACAAGTAATCATAAGTTTATTATTCTGTCTCTTAAAAAAGAATATTACAACAACCAAAATATACATTAAAAATGAATATTTCCCCATTTACCAAACATATGTATAATAAAAAGACGAAATAAATTCATCAACCAACAAAAGACTAAACCAGTAAAAAGAAAAAAAAAGAAAAAAAAAAGAAGGATTCAAAGCACACACCTAAACTCTAGCATGCTTATCCAGGATCCTACTGTGTAAACTCAGATTAATTAGATTGAATTGTTCTTCAACTCAACAGTTACAGTCGCTCTCACGTACCGGATACCTGCTGTCGGTCCCACGCGTTTATAATATACATATGGTACGTCTATTTAAAGAGCTGCAGGTTGAGAGTTGAGACAGACCCACAGAGCTAAAGCACGAATTATTAAGTGATTCAAAAGCAGAAAAAATGAAGTCAATTTGTCTCATTCTTTCGTTAATCCTCTTCTCAATTCATTTTTCTCTTACCCACGCCGCTGGTGGCAAATGGCAGCTCTTGCAACAAAGCGTTGGCATTTCCGCCATGCACATGCAGCTCCTGCGCAACGACCGCGTCATCATGTTCGACCGCACAGATTTCGGCAAATCTAACCTGGCCTTACCCAACGGGGAATGCGTTAGAAACGACTGCACCGCCCACTCCGCCGAGTATGATGTCAAAACTAACACAGTCCGCGCTCTCACTCTTTTATCCGACGTTTGGTGCTCTTCCGGAGCTGTAGCCCCCAATGGACGCTTAATCCAAACTGGGGGTAACGGCGCTGGAGATCGCCGCGTTAGGGTTTTCGAGCCCTGCACGGGTTGTGATTGGAAGGAGTTTGCGAATGCCTTAGGCGCTCGCCGTTGGTACGCTACCGATCATATTTTGCCCAATGGACAGCAGATCATCATCGGCGGTAGGCGGCAATTCAACTACGAGTTTTATCCAAAGACCGGGTCTTCGAGCAAAGTCTACAGCTTGCCCTTCCTTGTGCAGACCAATGACGCCGGCGAGGAAAACAATCTTTACCCTTTTGTTTTCCTCAACGTGGATGGGAATTTATTTATCTTTGCGAATAATCGAGCTATTCTATTCGATTATGCAAAGAACAAGGTCGTCAAAACCTATCCACAAATACCGGGCGGCGACCCAAGGTGTTACCCTAGCACAGGTTCAGCCGTGTTGCTGCCGTTAAAAAACTTGGCGGCTCCGTCTGTTGAGGCTGAGGTTTTGGTTTGCGGCGGAGCTCCAAAGGGGTCTTTTGTCAAGGCAAACCAGGGTACTTTTGTGGAAGCTCTAAACACATGCGCTCGGATCAAAATAAACAACCCGAAACCCCAGTGGGTTATGGAGACTATGCCTCAAGCTAGAGTCATGGGTGACATGTTATTGCTTCCAGATGGCACTGTTCTACTCATCAACGGTGCATCATCAGGAGCTGCAGGTTGGGAAATAGGGCGCAATCCGGTTCTCAACCCGGTTGTGTACCGACCTGACAACGCAATTGGATCACGGTTTGAACAACAAAACCCTACCACCATACCGCGGATGTACCATTCCACCGCGATATTGTTACGTGATGGTAGGGTACTAGTTGGAGGTAGCAACCCTCATGAAAAATACGAGTTCACCGACGTGCTTTTCCCAACTGAATTGCGATTAGAGGCATTTAGTCCTGATTATTTGGACGCTAAATACAATAACTTGCGTCCGCAAATCGTTGCGCCCATATCACAAGCTAAGATCAACTACGGAAAGAAACTATCCATTCAGTTTTCGGTGAAGGGAAACCTAGCAACACAATCAGTGTCAGTGTCGATGGTGGCGCCCTCATTTAATACACATTCGTTCTCAATGAATCAGAGGCTGCTAGTTCTTGAGGCGGAGAACGTTAAAAAGGTAGGAACAACGGCCTACCAAGTTCAGGTGACTACGCCGGCTTCCGGTAATCTTGCACCTTCAGGATATTATCTTCTGTATGTCGTTCATCAAAAAATTCCAAGTGCTGCCATCTGGGTACAAATTCTGTGATAAAATGAAGGTATTTAAATTTGTATACTATGTTTCCTCTTCCTTTTTATTTTATTTGAAAAAAAGAAGATTAATTGTGAGTTGAAAAAATAAAAATGTTCATAGACAGATCAAACTACAAAAGCAAACCGTTTGATTAATTCTGTGTGTCATTTTAAAGAATTAGGACCATGTAGCAATTTTCAATTTGTATTTGATTTTTCTTACCAAAGATTACAAGTTGTAATTAATCTAATGAATAAAGTTGTATTAATTTCCATCGAACTTTTTTTGGCGCCAGTGCGTTTTTATTTACTTGCAAAGAGTTTATTTTGCAAATTTTGCACACAAGTGGATAGGGTGTGGTTTCTACTCATGCGTTCTGAGTTTGAAACTACATTCTTCTAAATTACTGTAATAGTTTTAAATCTTCTCTCTCTTCTTAATAAGAGTTTTTAACAATTTATCATATCCGATTAATGTCAATAACTATCGTCAATGTCAATGGAACGATGCACTGTATGTGGACAGATTGGTAATTAGAAAATGGTGCAGCCGAGTAGATAATGATGATTGTTAATTTGAACGATCAGTGCATCTTTCGAATACATGGCGAGTTTTTTTATTAATAAAGATGCCTATTTTTTTTATTGAGTACAATGATACCTGTAAATTTAAGAGGTGTATTATCCACACACTTCTTTTTACTTCTCACATACCTTTTATTAATTTATGTTCGTTGATCTTCTTGATTTCATCCAGTTCGATGGTCAAAAATTAGAAAAATGTATGACAAAAAGGTCGTACCCAGTGCACAAGACTCCCGCTTTACGCAGGATCTGGAAGAGGTGAATGTCGGCTAGCCTTACCCCAAATTTAAACATCCCAAATTTAAACATCGGTTGCATGGGATACCCTCGTTCATGGCCCTAAGTGGGACCAATGCACAAACTGTGGGATTGTAGCCTTTCAGAATCCTTACAATTTTATACGGGCCTGCAGCTTTTCGCATGGCCCTTGTTTTAAAACATGTGCAGAACAGCAATTATATAGCTCAGTGGCTCCAGTAGTTGCTATCACTGATCAATGTTGTTGGTGCTTGGTGGAACCCATCCGTTAAATGTGGGGAAGAACTCCAATTTTACTCAAATTTTTTCTGGTTTACCAAAACAAAAAAGAATACTGAGGCATATTTTGGTTTGCACTCAGGGGGCAAATCCATTTTCAAACAAGGTGGGTCAGCTCATTCCGCTTAGAATTCCTTACGGAAGAGCTGGGGGGTTCCCGTTTGAAAATCTAAAATGTCTTTAAAAGTTGCTCTATAATTGTTGGACGAGTTATCTCTGTGGGCATTGATAAGGATAGTTGCTAACCCCATACCTTTGTATGTATTGATATGGGCTCTTTCGATGTGCTTACTCGACATATGTTAGTATATGTCAGCATGCTTGCTCAAACGCTATTGAGTGTTCATCTCAGTTGATATGCTCGCTTAGAAGCTATTGATAACTGTTGATAGGCCTGCAATATGACTTGCAAATAACCTCAAGCCTACCAAGGCTCAATGAAATGGCAATTTGCAAGTTATCATGTAAAAAAAAATATTTGCACGTGCAACGCGCTATTCTTAGTGACATCCCAATAATATTTTAAGTACTTTTGAAAATAAAAAATATTTAATTTAAAAACACTTTAATTTATTTGAAATACATTTCCAAACGATGCATAATTTCATAATACTAAGGGATTTTTAATGAAAAGCCCACGGTACTATTCATTTTAACGAAAAACCATATTTTTACACTAAAAAATCAAACATGTTACTATTTACTTTACCCTCTATTTTTTCTTTATCATTAAAATTCAGAGTTTTCAAACAATTTTCATTAGTTTTATTTAAGGGTGTGATATCCACACACCACATTGAAGAAAATCAACAACAACAACAACAACAACAAAGCCTTTTCCCACTAAGTGGGGTCGGCTATATGAATCCTAGAACGCCATTGCGCTCGGTTTTGTGTCATGTCCTCCGTTAGATCCAAGTACTCTAAGTCTTTTCTTAGAGTCTCTTCCAAAGTTTTCCTAGGTCTTCCTCTACCCCTTCGGCCCTGAACCTCTGTCCCGTAGTCACATCTTCGAACCGGAGCGTCAGTCGGCCTTCTTTGCACATGTCCAAATCACTGGAGCCGATTTTCTCTCATCTTTCCTACAATTTCGGCTACTCCTACTTTACCTCGGATATCCTCATTCCCAATCTTATCCTTTCTCGTGTGCCCACACATCCCACGAAGCATCCTCATCTCCGCTACACCCATTTTGTGTACGTGTTGATGCTTCACCGCCCAACATTCTGTGCCATACAACACCGCCCAACATTGAAGAAAATCAATGGACATAAATTATCAAGGGACGTGTGAAAAGTAAAATGAGATGTGTAAATAGTACACTCCTTTCTTTAATACTAATTGTGTACAACCATATTCCTTGGATTTGTGAACGAGTCGTGACTAGGAAAAACTCGGCCGAGTTGTATAACTAGAAGGCAAAACGACATCGTTCCCAGTACATTCTCAAATCATCTCGACCCAGTTTACTTCTTCCTTCGAAAAATTGGAAGCTCTGGTGGTTCGATGGAGGCTAGCAAGAAGGGCTACGCGTGGGCAGTCTCAGCCGGGCTCTGCGCCGCTTCCGCCGCCGTTTCGGCGAAGCTCATCACTAATCAGGTGCCCTTCCGATATTCAATTTCACGAATTTAAGACCGTTGAATTTGCATCTCAAAAACCCTAGAATCTCTTGATTTAGTAATTCAGGTGATTAATTTTTGGGGATTTTCACAGATTGTAAAGTACTGTTTCGTGGTATTATTCAACGTGACAATGTGGGGGTGCTTTGTGCAAAGCTTAAAAAATCTGTCGTCTCTGCAAGCTACAGCGACGAACTTCGCTACCAACTTCCTCACTTCTGGTCTGGCCGGATACTTTTTGTTTCAAGAACCCTTATCTGAGAAGGTAAATTCATTGCTTTTGTTCCGTTTTGTGTTAATTTTAATGAAGTTTTAGTCATTTACACAACCTTACCCTTATTTGCAATTAGGCTGTTTCCATCACTCAAACATGTGACATTTCAGTCCCAAAGAAGCAACATTTTCGTTGCGTCAAGACTCGCCCTTTGTTTTCGTGACTTAAATGCTCAAAATTATTAATCTACCAAGTTTCTTGTGTGATGCATTCACTGAATACAAATGTGTGGGGCAAATGAAAAGAAAAAATGAATGGATGACATTGTTGTCATATGCAACATGTTTACTTATTTGAAAAGGAGAAGTCGTTGATCATGAAAATGAAAGAAGGAATCAGTACGAGATTATGTCGTATTTGATATGATTCATGATTTTCAAGTATTAGATTATGGACTCACAATTTTCTTTTATTTCACGTTTTAGTAAATAAAAGGGAAGTTGGTAATTTGAATAATTCTAATACCCATGTTTTACTTGACGTGGGGACGAATCAGAATAACTCCAGTACTCATGCCATGTAAGTAAACAAGCCACCTAGTAGTAAGTGTTTAGGCCAGAAAAGTGGTGGGAAATGTTTGGCCTTCACTAGTAGGCCTCTAACTCTGTGGTCATCGATCAAACGATTCTGAAATTTATTTCAGTAAACGAAGAAATCGAAAACAACTGGTTCTTTTCACATAAAACATTTGAATGCGCCATGGGTTATATGGCTGCTAGTGTTTCTTATCTCTTAAAATCACAGAAATGGTGATAGAGCTTCTTCACCAAATATTTCGTTTCTCTGTTGGGAGAGGCCGTAGAATTGCGACTGCTTGTACATTGTTTTTACACCTGCATATAATTGTTCATGGTAAGAACATTGATAAAATGTGGCTTTAGCCTTGCTTGACATTTTTCATTTGCATATCTGATGGAAAGGCTTGTTGACAGTGGTTTGCAGGTGCCTTGCTCATTGTCGTTGGCGCTCTCGTTCTTAGTAAGTCAAGTATCGAGAAGAATGTTCATACGGATTAATGTTTCTGCATTCCATTTCGCGTTCTCGCATTTGGTTGAGAGATTAGATAACTGTAGATTTTGCGAGGATGTACATATAACTAAACCGTTGAACAATCTGTTTTGTTTATGTGTAATTGTGCTTTTTTATGTAATTTTATACTTTGGTGACTCATTTTGTGAATAAGATTATTCGTTCTTTTCATTTCATTGTATTCGTGTATCAAATAAACGAGTGTGCAGAAACAGAAAAACAGCGTGCGAAAATCATTTTCTGTACTTAAACCAGCTGGATTCCTATTTCCTTATTGGTCTTAATCGTGACGATTCCAATGGCTTGCTCCCTCTCTTCCTCTCGCGCTTCTTGGTCTTGTTCTCCATCTTCGTGTTGTCCTCGGGAGATAGGTAAGGGTTTGGTCCTGTCATGGCTACTGGTTCAACAGACGATCTCTAGCAGAAATTTTAAGAAGGCGTTATGCATGGCAGTTTTGACATAAGTAGTGTTTGGTGACTTTCTTTGGTCGTTAAATCTCCAGCCAAAGGTTGCGTCGCAATAGCCTACTCGCTCGAGTCTCGACTCAGACGAGTCAAATAGGTGGGGTGCGTCATCTGTTTGTGGGCCTGGCCTGGCAAAATTCAGATTTTACTTTACTTTTTGGGCTAAAGCCCAACCATTGAAAAACAACCTCAGAGCTTTGTGTACAAGAAGCTGCCATCTTCATGAATCATGTTCACATGACCCAAAATATTGTCCACCTCGGTCAAGTTCTACCAAATAACCGGACCTAGAACACCAAACCAAGATAATAACTAAGGTCATCTCCAACCAACACGGTTAAAGAATTAAAGGGCTAAAAATAGCTTGTTTTGACACAAAAATCGTCTCCAACCAAGGGCTAGGTCAAAGGGCTTGTGGTCCCCATGCAGCCATAAATGAGAGAACCAGCCAAAGGGCTGGCTAAGAGCAGCTAGCCCTATAACCCAGCCTTCCAGTGCCAGAATGTCAAGTTTTACATTTTGCCAACCCTCCAGCGTCAAAATGTCAAGCTTGACATTTTGCCACTCTCCAGCTAAACCCATTTGAATGCCAATAGTTAGCAACGGCTAGCTGACGTTATACTGCTGTTAGGTTACCGTTGGAATTTGATTTTTTTTTTTTTTTTTTTTTACGAATTTAAAAAAAATTCTAATTTTTTTTCCTATAAATACCTAAGTCATTCCTACACCATTTCTCACCTACTTTTCACAATTCCATACTATCTTACCTCATTTTATTTTAATTTTTCACATTCTATTCTCTTATCTCTTCCAATAATCTTTCCTTTAATTTTTTCAATAATTTTCAAATGGCCACATCTGCAATGAAAGGAAGGTTTCGACCCAAAAAGAAGATGAATCTCTTTGTAGGGCTTATAGATAGGTCTCAGAATATAGTGTCAAGGGTAGTTCTCAAACAAGTGAAGTGTTTGGAAGTGTGTGAATTCTACTCCAATATCCAGCCAATTTATTAACATTGGAAGCTGAAGATAAGAAGTGTCACGCAAATAAGAATTCTAGCTAAAATTTGTACAACCAATTACATCTCGACATGTGGCACTCGAAACCATATCCAAAAAATTATTAAGATTACATAAAGATAAGAAATCTGGAGAATTACTCATGTTAACGACACGTGTCACTTGAAATCCTATCCAAAATATTATTAAGATTATATAAAGATAAGGAATCCGGAGACTTATTCATTTGGCAACAAGTGACACTCAAAATATATCCAAAAACTTTATTTTAATATGGTAGTTCAATTTAAGTAATCATATTAATTCAATTAAAATAATAAATTATGTTTGACCTATAGCCCTTTGGCCCCCTCGGTTGGAGATGGTTTTTTGTCAAAGGGTTATGTTTGGCCTACAGTTTTTTAGCCACCTCAGTTGGAGATGGTATAAAATATGGTCTGACATTGTTCATTAAAATATAATTTCTTACAGGGCTACAAAGCTAAAGGAAGTCTTTTGGCCCTCATTCGGTTGGAGATAGCCTAATGGCTCATTTGATAATACTTTTAAAATGACTGAAAGCATTTTTAACAAAAATATTTTTGAGTTCGAAAAGTGTTAAAGTGCTTCTTGCAAAAAGAACATAACTCGTTCCTCTTATAGGAAGCACTTTAAATGTTTTTCCAAGATTCACTTGCATTTTTGTTAAGGACTGGTTCCAAAAATATTTTTACTAAAAGTGCTTTCAGCTATTTTAAAAGCACTTGCAAACAAACTCTATACTTGGTCTAATTTATAAGGTAAGTGAAATTCAACAGCTATGCCTGTAATTTTATTTTTTTTGTTTTGAACAGCTACGCCTGTAATTTTTGTTGTTGTAAACTTGTAAAAGTAATTTTGAAAACTACTCTGATTTACATGTGGTTGATGATTAACGATAATGACGAATGATTGATATAGACGTGTGAAAAAATAAACGTTCTTAACCACTTAAAACAACGAGTTAGTTCTGTTGTTAGAACATGGTGATTAATTATTCTAATAGTGAGATGGTAAAAAACAAAAGGAGGGGAAAATACAGTAGAGAGTACAAGTCCACATCTTACATCCTGTCCTGGTCCTCTTTGTCTCTGAGAGAGTCTGGTGGGAGAGAGCATCCAAACGAAAGTAAGAAAATTCTTCTCCTTCTTCTTCCTGACTACTCCCCTTCCCTCATCTTCTTCCTCAAAAATCAGGGTTTTATTGAACTCCCCCACTCTCCTTCTCCGGTGAGCTCCGATTCCCTTCCACCTCTTCTTCCATGGCGATTGTTTTTCATTTCTGCAGATTATATTTGTGGTATTTTTTCGTCTGAGTTTTTACTTGAGCTTGGTTTTAGGTGGTGGTCTTCAGAGCTGCTTCGATTTAGTTTGGAATTAGTTGTTGTTTGTTTGATAATTTCGATTGCGGTTGTGTTTTTGTTCTGCAAGTGATGCTTTCTGTGTGTGATTGGATTGGAGATTTTGGGATTTCTAGGGTTTTACTTGTGAAATTAGGAACTGCTTCTTTGAGCTTTTAAGCTATTGTTTTTATGAATTTTTGAATGTTTGATGATCTTCGCTTCGTTTAGAATTGATTGGATGTTGAAAACATAAAAAAGTCGATTTTAAGTTAGTTCTATCTTGGTTAATTTGAGAACAACAGCAATAACAAAGCTTTTCTCACTAAACGGGGTCGGTTGTATGAATCTTAGAACACAACTGCGCTCAGTTTTGCTCCAAGTCTTTCGTTAGCTCCAAGTACTCAGCTTCTTCTTTTTTAAAGTCTCTTTCCATGTCTTCCTAGGTCTTCCTCTACCCCTAGCCTCTGTCTCATAATCGCATTTTTTTAACCGGAGCATCTGTAGGTCTTATCGTGGTTAATTTTAGTACAATCTGTAAAAATTCATGGGAATTCTGTGCATTTTTTATCGATATATATGCTCTGGAAATGACATAATGTTTCCTAAAATAGAGATGAAGAAATCGGTTGAGTTGTTGAATTTTATGTGTAAGGGTATTTAGTCTTGCATGTCTATAATCTTGTGTAGGGTTCTCCTGGATTGTTCTGCTTTAACTTTGTTGCTTGCACTCAACTTCAGCAACCTATAAACGAAATACGGACATTTATCTTAATGGGCATCAACTGCATGATACGTAGCCTCAGTCGGAGTTTGATGTTTAACCAGTGTAGCGTTGTACTACCTGTAGAGGTGTGAAACTTGCATCAGCAGCTGTTGCTATTTACTGATCTCAAATGGATGACGGTGGCCATCGTGAAAATGGAAGACACAAAGCAGATCAGTATAAAGCAGCTCAGGGTCAGGTATGTGGAAGCAATTTTCTGAATACGGCTACCTAAATTGATTATCATGTGAATTGACATGTATAAAGTCTTTCAGGAGGTATGCGGTATATACATATTCAATGCTTACCTGACGATATTTTGTCTTGTTTTTTGTTTAGTGGTTGATGCACAATCAGCCATCAATGAAACAGGTAATGGCCATAATGAGCGAAAGAGATGCAGCTATTCAGGAAAGAAATTTGGCCTTTTCCGAGAAAAAGGCTGCCCTTGCAGAGCGAGACATGGCATTCCTGCAACGAGATGCAGCAATTGCAGAACGAAATAGTGCCATGATGGAACGAGACAGCGCCATTGCAACTCTTCACTACCGGGATAACTCCTTAAACAGTGGCAATGTATCTTCATGCCCACCAGGTTGCCAAATTTCACGCGGGGTCAAACATATGCACCACACACAGCAGCAGCAGCATGTACATCACATGCCGCACATGAATGAAGCTTCTTATGGTACGAGGGATATGCACACAAGCGATTCCATCACAATGCCACCAGAAACTTCAGCGCCTACAAAGTCACGGCAGCCCAAACGACCAAGGGAGCCCAAGACAACGCAACCAAATAAGAAACCTTCAAAATCTCCAAGGAAGATGAAGAGGGAGAGTGAAGACTTAAATAAGATGACGTTTGATAAATTACATGACTGGAAGGGTGGCCAGGATATGGGCGGTGAAGGTGATGATCTTAACAAACAGGTGGTTGTGTCAAAGTCAGATTGGAAATGTCAGGACCTGGGGTTGAACCAGGTTGCGTATGATGAGTCGACCATGCCAGCACCCATGTGCTCGTGCACCGGTCTCCTCAGGCAATGCTACAAGTGGGGGAATGGGGGTTGGCAATCCTCATGTTGCACAACTACAATGTCGATGTACCCATTGCCAGCAGTGCCCAACAAAAGACACGCCCGTGTGGGTGGGAGGAAGATGAGTGGGAGTGCCTTCAACAAGCTACTTAGCCGACTTACAGCTGAAGGCCATGATCTCTCGAACCCAGTTGATCTCAAGGACCACTGGGCCAAGCACGGAACAAACCGCTACATCACAATCAAGTAGACGAAACTTGGGGTAGAGGCACGTGCAGGTAGGAGAAGGAACATAGTGATTGATCATGTATGCGTTTCAAATTTTCTTTTCAGCTCGATGGCGGAGGGGAAATAATGATTTGATAGTAGGCAGTTGGAAGTAGTAGGATTTGGGAGCGTTGCTATGTGGCTGTCTAAGGCCTTGGCTATTTCTTCCCAAATTTTTTCGACGTTAGAACTAGCTGAATGGGTTGATACTGCAGTAAGATTTTCTGGAAAACTGAGGCCGGTTGGAAATCGAGGAAGTAAGA